ACCTTCTAAGACCTGCAAAGCTCGCTCTACGCTATAAGGAATGGTTTCCCCAACCCTGCATTTTAAGCCCATTTATACGTGTATGAATTTATACTTATATCACGTTTAACTGAAATTACTTTATCATCGGCGGACTAGCCAAGTAATGGGTAAACACTTGTTCAGGTTCTTGGTAAATTTAAACTTTTCAATCAAGGCTGAACATGTAACAAAAACTTTATATTTATGATACAATATTCTGCCAGCTGCCTACAATCAGTGACAAAAGGTTTTTGGACAGTGATATAATATAGACATATCTGCGCCTTTCCAAATACTGTTCAGCATAAAACGACCATCCCTCCCTCCCCCACCCTAAACAATGTTGGGTGCCTGGCAAGAAACATTTTGCGCAGGTATTTCCAGACACAACATTGAACGGGGGGTGCGGGGGCTCTATTGTGTTGTAAATGTACGCTCTTTTGGTATTTTGTCCAAAGTGTTTTGTCACTGATTGCAGTTATCTATTATCAACCAGTTGTCTATTATTTTACTCTGCCTACCGCCAGATTGTTTTACTGCCTAACACTTGACTATTTAGTATTTATTCATCAGGGGGAGAGTGCTGCCACTCAAATACTCAATGGGTTAAAAAACATTGAAACAAAATGTTTAGCAGAAGCTGCAAAATTGTTTATTGGTGCCGGTCTTGTGTAATACTGACATTTCTTTTATTTGTAAGGATAGAGCTGGGGAGCTTCTAGTACATGGTACAGACCTGGCCCTACCCTGGTTTTCCTGTACTGCATTTGTTTTCGTCACTTCGCTGATTATACCATAAGTATTGTATCCCATGGACACCATCTTATCAGTTCTGCAGTTTTTTGACAATCTACCGTAAAACTCCAACTATAAGCACTTTCGTAAGCGATTTTTGATGGGCTTACACAAGGGGGCTTATATACAGGGGGGCTTATATTCAGAGGTTTATGGTAAGTATGGTAAAATAGAGGGAATGATAACTCCTATGCAGCTACACTCTAAAAACACTCTGGTTAAATTTGGGTTAATTCAACCAGTACGGGGTTAAAAATCCACCTACACAAGTCTGGTTAAAAAAAATTAACCATTTTCCTGGTTAAAAGTCCAAAAAAGTGTACCAAATTTTTGTTGAATTGATAATTTTTAACCAGGAAATGGTTTAAATTTAACCAGAATGTGTTGGGTGGATTATTAACCCAATTCCTGGTTGAATTTAACCAGAGTGTTTTTAGAGTGTAGACTTGCAGCAATACTGTTTAAAGCCAATCTTAAAACAAGGGCTCAATTTTTAAAGAAGAATTCTGCCCAACTAAACACTGATTGGAGGGTTGCAACTCCCAGCCTCGTA